ACAGTCAGTTATATTGAGAAAATCGCAGTAAACGTCGTTTAAGACCACCTTTTTCTCCGAGTCCTTAGATTTGAGATAACTATAAGCCTTACGTATGACTTGTTTGGCGGCCGCGTATCCACTCTGTAAGCGACTGGTGTAGTCATCGGACGTGGCCTGCGGTGATGTGCCGGTGATAGCATCATGGTGAGTCATTACGGCCACCTCATTACGTGCCTCATCCATGTATGCAGTAGTTTTTGAAGGATCTAAACGGGCCAATACTGACATTTGTTTACCGGCCTATACGGTTAAAATAAAAATTATCATTATTAAAATAAAATATTTAACAAATATTTATTGTTGATATTAAATTTTGGCTTATATAATTTACACATGACTATTTGTTATCTTACTTTAATCCTAACAAGTGCTATTGTTATTTTTTGTAATTTATTTATAAAACTGTAATTTAATACATTCATGTATTATTAAATAACTAATTAGTACTGCAAATTAAATTAATTGGTGACCCAGCTCATAAGTAATGTTATGTTTTCAGCTAATTTATTTCTAACAAGGGTCTAATGTAAATGTAAAATGATTGCACGCTTTTTTGCATAAAGCATTATATTTTATATTAATTTCTAACCTGAAGGATATTGTTTGTCAACCGATCCTGGTACTTAAGCGCCGGCCTATTGGCGTAATAGCCCACCCAATAGGACAGGTAATCAACATTGCGCTCATCAAACGTATGGTTCAAACCATTCACTGCCTTAACGTAACAATTGGGCGACGAATACATGAGGTTAACGTCCGGGTGTCGGGCCTTCGCCTCCTTAATCATACGATCCATGTTTTCAAACCAAAAGTTTGCCGTTTTGTACTGAAAATCATCGCCCATTGTTACCAACACGTGATTTATATTACCATAGTCCTTATTCCAGTTACGGGCATTCTCGATAAACTTGTTGGTTTTATCTTGCACGTTTGAGTCGTTAATCATGTTGTTGCCATTTTCAAAATTAAATCCACCTGGTGCGCTGTAATGGGCGTGTAATATCGTGGTAAATATGCGAGTGTTTAGGTCGGGCGACACATTCCATATGTACTCTCCATGGTCTGGGCCTCTGTTGTATACGTGGGTATCAAAACCCATCTGCGCGTATAGGGAGGGCATTTCCAGTGAGGCACCAAACGGGTCAATTTGCCATGATACTTTTGGTCTGGCGCACTTTCCGAATTGTTCATTCAAAAATTTAAGACCTAATTGTTTTTGTAAATTAATTAACATTGAAAGTTAATTAGATAACATTTATATTTAACCACGCCTTTTAACATTTTTTGATTTTTATTTAAACACACCTGGTATCTTAAGTCTTAAGAAACTTACGAGTTAGTAATTTAATCTAATCTTTAAGTTGTAAGTAACTATAAATTAGGTCATTTTGAA